CCCATGCTTTCTTTTCCCCCTCGGGGTGAAAGTGAGTTTTGTCTCTAAGCCCCAAAAATAAGGGCCGCTGCTTCCCCCCGCTCCATATAGGAGCACCAGACGAGTTAACCCCAAGTTTTCTTTCCCCCGTCTGCAAATGTCCTTCCTTCGGGGACGTGCGCGTTAACCGCGCGACCCAAATCCCGTGTAGTTCTCGTTCCCCCCTCACCCGCGTACACGTCTCGGATACTTCTGTAACCCTCTCTCTTCCTGAGTGACGTTAATCGTAAAGGGAACGTTCCGCTAGCCGTCAGACTTGGATTACCATGGTTTCAAGAAGTTTTTAATTTCCTCTCTCGGTGTGTTCTCCTTTAATGTCTTCCAGGGCTGTTGTACGGGAATGTGCCTTGGGTGTAGGGGTGTGGCTTGGTCCAATCTGTTGAGGCCGGGGGGGGGGGGGGAGAGGGAGGGAAGAATAGAGGAGAGAGACCGAAGTCATTACCTGTTACACGTAAAGGAGTGCCTAAATAGGTAAAGATTTAGTTCTTGAGGATTTTTAACAGCTGTCAGTCTCCGTCATTCCACGTTTCGATATCGGGAGTCTCTTAGTGCCAAAGAGGTTTGGATCTGACAGCGGTTTGGTACCCCCACCATTGTGTCTCCCGATGCGGTGATCTCCTGTCACCTGGTCTTTTAGACTGCATAGTCGCCCCTCGTGCCGGGTGGAAAGACAGCCCGAGAATGAGTTACCCACCTGCTTGCTTTTTCCAGTTTGTTTCAACCCGCACCTTCAAATTACCATGTCTCCTGTGAGTTTGCTGCCGTTTAGGCGAGTAGTATATGGCTCTTTCAGATTATAGTGAGTACTTTGGGGACATAATTACTGATGAAAAACTGTACCATCCACTCAAGATACTTTAAGATCAGGAAACAGACAATATTAAAGCTTTTCGTTGTCACCGAGTTGATACTGTCCAGACTGTATCATCTACTCGAGATACTTTGTTTAAGATTAGAAAACAGACGATACTAAGCTTTTCGTTGTTGCTGAGTATTTTGGGGACATAAAAGTGACCAGACTGTATCATCTACTCAAGATACTTTAAAATTAGGAAACAGGCAATATTAAGCTTTTTGTTGTTACTTGGAAGTAATTACTATAGTAGTTTACTCCATTTTAATATAAGCACGCTAAGTTTTGAATGCTTTATTTTAGTAAATTGACTTACTCTGTCTGAATTCGTATCTGCAGGACAATTACTTTTGGTCTTAGATTCAAGTTAGTTGCATAACATAGTCCAGGGGTTAGGAAGAAAGTGAGGTAAATTCATTGTGGGAGTGAGGACTGACTGGCAGCTTAACTGGGACCTCGATAAAAGTGAGGTCTGGTTGGGAGGAGAACTTGGGTTGCTTTATTTTTTCTTTTTACTGAACAGGTGTATGTATGTATGTATGTATGTATTTATGGGGGTGGAGGGGAGATTCTCACTGTATATCCTTGGCAAGCATGGACCTCTGTAGAGCAGGCTGGTTTCAGACTCAGAACTGAGACACCGCCTGTACTACTAGGACAGGTGTCTGGGTGGCTATTGAAAGTGAAATTAAGGTCCCTGGAATGAAAACTTAATTTTCCGATTCACACTGTGCCGCAGATGGAGTGGGAGTGGGAGCTGTGTATTTTAACAGCAAACAACTCTTGGGCAGTGGAGCTCAGCAAAAACAACCCCTTATTCCACAAAACAACAGTATTGCTGGGTGGTGGCTGCACAAGCATTTAATCCTAGCACTGGGAGGCAGGGGCAGGCGGATCTCTGTGAGTTCCAGGTCAGGCTCCAAACAAAGCTACAGAGAAACCCTGTCTCGGAAAAGAAATAAAAGGGTATTGTTTTTTAAAAGGTTTTTTTGTTGTTGTTGTTTGGTTGATTGGTTGGTTGGTTTTGGTTTTTTACTCCAAGGAAAGGGAAAAATAGGTGGTAAAGTTGATAGTAGTAGGCTTCCATTTTATCAAAGTGACTTACAGAACCATTTTATAGGTAACAGTCCTGGTCATTTTTCCACCTCCATAGTGACCATGTGATCTTGTGTTTGGTGTCTAGTATGCTGCCAGTGTTCATTAAATTAAAGCACATAGCATATGTCTTTTTTTATCTTTTATTTTAACTTTCAGAGTACTTTCATGACTCTGGAACCTTGAAAAGAAAGAAGAAAAATGTTGCTTATAAAAGATGTGTCCCAGCATGGTAACACACACCTCTAATCCCAGCGCTTGAAGCAGAAGCAGGTAGCCGAGGTCTAGGCTAATCAGGGCTATACAGTGAGATCCTGTCTTTAAAAAAGAAGGGGTCTGGAAAGCTGGCTCAGGGGTTAAGAGCACTGGCTTCCTCTTCCACAGGAAGCTCACTACGGTCTGTAACTACTGTTGCAGGGGACCTGACACCCTCACACAGACTTCTGCAGGCAAAACACATAAAAAATAAATCTTTATTTAAAAAGAAAGAATAAAAAAAAGAGAAGATTCAGAGTTACTGATTCATCCAGTTTTCTTGATCTAGCATAGTAAGTGTACTTTTGTGGACTGAAGTCACTTGGATCAGCACTTAGGCCTCCATTGTAACATAGCTGATTTATTGCTCTTTTTTTTAAAAAACTCGATTTTAATTTTTTTTAAAAAATTGCATTTACTTCAGTATATGTGTGCTGATTATAAATACCACCTGTCTGATTGAGGTCAGAGGACAACTTGTGGAAATATTTCCATTCTTGTGGGTTCTGGGTTTGAACCTAGTCCTGGCACAAGTACCTTTAGCCTCTGAGCTATCTCATTGGTCCTGTTTTTTTAATTTTTCCCTCTGAGATTGTGTGTGTGTGTGTGTGTGTGTGTGTGTGTGTGTGTCTACACATGTGCAAAGAGGTCAAAAGCAGACATCTTGCTCCAATGCTATAGAGAAACCCTGTCTCAGAACCCACTCCACCAAAAAAGCAGAACACCCCCCACCAAATAAAAAGACATTTTGGGTTTGCCATCACTCTTTGAGGCAGAGTCTCTTCCAGAGATGCTCACGTTTTCTAAATTGATTAGACAGTAAGCACTGGGACCCTTTAGTCCGCCTCCCTGGAGCTGGAGCTGCAGGCAGCCCTGGGACACCTGGCTTAGTATGTGAGTGCTGTCATTAAAACTCCTGTCCTTATGATTATATCAGCAAACCCTCCTAACCACCAAGGCATACCACTCTGAGTGTTATGTTTTTTGAACTGGAGTCTTAAATAGCTCTAGGCCAGCCTCAGACTTGTGTAGCTGAAGATGACCATAAATCTTGCCCTTAACCTCCCAAATGCTGGCACATTTGGTTTTGAGTTTTGTTGTTGTGTTCTCTACACCACCACGACCCACCCCTCACCCCACTCCTGGCACATCTTTGCCATTACTTAAATGAAAAAGTATAGTCTCAGATGATTGGTGGCAGTGCACACCTTTAATCCCAGCATTTGGGAGGCAGAGGCAGGCAGATCTCGATGAGTTTGACGCCTGCCTGGTCTACAAAGCGAGTTTCAGGACAGTCAGGACTGTTACACAGAGAAACCCTGTCACGAAAAATCCAAAAAAAAGAAGAAAGAAAAGAAAAAAAATGTAGGCTCTTAAAAATTGATAGGATGTTACTTTTATTTGTAGTGTTATTAAAATTAAGTTTTTCAGGATTGCTGTCTTTTCAAAAAAATTGAGATAATGTCTGAATTCTAAAATTTAATGTTTTTTCTTAGCAAGAAAGTAGTTTAAGAAGACTAGTTAAAAGGGAAATTTGAAAATTGGAGAAATTTTAGAATATAGCAAGTAAGTACGAGAATGCTTAAATTTAGTGTTCCATTAAATGTGCTTATAGATGAACCTGTTTTCCTTGTGTTTTTTTATGTGTCTATGAATAAGAAGTATAACTTTAAAGAAATTTATATCTATAGACTTAAATTTTTAAAGCATCAGGAAAATCTTATAAGCTAAATGTGTAGGTATACGTATGCTTGTCATTCTAGCACTTGAAAAACAAAGCAGGAATACAGAAAGTCCAAGGCATGGCTGGCCTGCATAATGACTTTATTTAATACCCTCCTCACCGTACCCCCACAAGATGGTCTCCCTATGTAGCCCTGGTTGGCCTGGAACTTACTATGTAGACCAGGCCCCTGGAACTCAGAGAGCCACCTGCCTCTGCTAGGATTAAAAGCAGGCACCATGCCCTGCCTAAAAGCCATCTCAGCAGTTAAGACAAATTTTTTAAAATGTGAATTACAAGACAAATTTATACCGTCTGGTTTTCTACTGCTCAGTTATACCTTTTACACCCAAATGTATGCTCTTAAAATGTTGAGTTTACTATTTTCTGACAGTCTCATGTATAACCAGCTGGCTTATAACTTAATATGTAGTCAAGGATGGCCTTGGGTTTCTGTTTCTTCTTCCTGGGATTGCAAACCTGATGCCAGGCCTAATTTATATAGTGCTATGGTTTGAACACAGCTTTGTGAATGCTGGTCAGGCACTCTACCAACTGAGCTGTATCCCCAACCCTGATTTTACTTTTAGATGAACAATTAATTTTATGCACTAAAAAGTTCACTGATTTAAGTAAACTCTTTGCTTTTTTGTTTTCTTGAATGAGACAGACATGGCTTACTGGTGGTGTGCTTGGCTAGCGTGCACAAAGTTCTAAATTCTACCCCAGCATCACAGAAGGAAACAAAAGGTTTATTAGAGCAAAAGAATTCTGTGAAAATGCTGAGTTTTTATTTTAGCAAGGGTTTTCAGTTTCACATCGAGATCTTGGAAGATGGGGAAATCCAAACAGAATAATGTCTCAGACGATGGGCAGTTGTTACAATCTCTCTGTTCTTGGCCTATCATCGTATTCTTGTCTTTTTTTTTCCCCAGGGGGCTATTTTATTCTTTGACATAGGTGAAGACTGGCCCAGAAGATATCTGCAGAAGATAAGAAGTGGGGAGAAATAGAATATGTTGAAACGGTGTGAAGAAAGTCATTAGAATTAGAGTGTGAAATCCACTGTAGGAAGGGGCAGAGACAACTGAGGTGTTGGATTGTATTAGCATACAGTAGAATTAGTAGAGGAAGGTGTAGCCCTTATTCCCTCTCTATTGTTTATGACCATATTGTCACATTTACTGTGGGCAGTACAGGACAGACTTTATCTTCTGTTTGGAGGAGATCAACTAGAGTGGCAAGAAGGTTCTTGAGATACATGATGAGTGGATGTTAAAATCATCGTGTTTAGGGGCTGGGCATGGAGGCATGCACTCTTAATCCTAGCACTGGGGAGACGGGCAGGCAGATGACTGAGTTTGGATTCAGCCTGGTCTACATAAGGAATTGCAACAGAGGGGCAATTTAGAGACTGTCTTATGACCAACCAAACCAAAACAGTATTTACTTTGAAGGAAAAAAATGAGGTTAACATAAATGTTAAGGGCTACTCTGAAGAGGAAGGGATAGGGTTAGACAAGGTAATTACGGTATGTAGAACTACGTTACCTAGGCAGTAGATGGTCAAGGCAGATTTGGACTCCCTGTGAAGAACCATTTAATAAATGGAATTTTACCATGGAGATCATGAGTGGATCCTAGTTCTCTTTTGAGATTTTTTTTGACAAGATTCAAGGCTGGGTAAGATTGTTTAGAATTCAGTATAACAGAATCTGCTGAGTATTGCTGTGTCTTCCTATCACTACTATCAAACTGATAGTCTTTATTTATTATTTTTAGGACAGGTCTCTTATAGCCCAGGCTGTCCTGGAACTTGCTATATAGACCAGGCTACCTGAGGCCTGCCTCTGCACCCTACACCACACACACCCCATGCTGGGATTAAGGGCATGTGCAACTACATCTGCCTAACAATGTTTAAACTTTAAGAAGCTTGCTATCTCAAATGAAAAATATTTTGAGTCAGGTTTGATGGTGTGCTCCAGATTTCCTGCACATAGGAGGCTTAAAGTAGAAAGATCACCAATTTTAGACCAAAATAGAAGAGGAAGGGTTGAGGAGCAATCTCAGTGATTAAGAGCACTTGCTATTCTCCCAGAGGACCCTGCTGCCCTTCAAACCATTCAAATACCAGCACTAGGGGAGTAGACACCCAGACCTCCCGGTCTCTTCCTTGAGTGCCTGCACACATGTGACATTACTCACAGAAAAATACCACTTTTGTGGCTGTAGGTCTTACCTTTAGAACAAAGTTGTTCTAAAGGTAAAAACAAAAATCTGGAAGTGTCTCTCTCTGCGGTCTGCTCTCCCCACACCCCCAGTAGCTCTTGAACTGCTTTGGTAGAATTCCATTTGAAATGTGTGTATGTTATAATCAACATTGTACAAGAATGTGCATGCTTGGGAGATAGATTATGAACGTAGGTGTATTAGATAGTACAGTTTTCTTTATTATTTCCTATTTGCTGTTTTTCTTTTAAAATGCTGTTTATGCACCAATAAATGAGTCCAAGGCCCAGTAACAGAGGTTTGTGGCCTATAAGTTGAAAAGTATTGCTCTGCAGGCTCTCATCCATCTGAAAAATGAGATGTTGAACACCAGCATGAGTGTTGGATCTTCTAGAACTGAAATTACGAGTGGTTGTGAGTCACCTGACTCAGGTGCTGTGATGTAAGCCTGGACAGTGCTGTTGATCGCCGAGCCACCTCTCCAACCCCCAGAAGTCAGGTTTTATAGTAATAATTAACTTTGTGATAGAAGTAGCAGTGAAATCAAGCATTCATTGGTTGAACTGTAGATTATTTAATAAAAGTCTCTTAAAACTTAATTTTAAAAATGGCTGTTTTGTCCATGGTATAAAGTTTTCCTTACACAGATTTCAGGCAGATATGCAGACTTGTTACAAAACATTAAATTCTAAAGTTGGCATCGTGGTATACAATTTTAATTCCATCTCTTAGGAGGCAGAGGCGTGGGGATCTCTATGATGAGTTCAAGGCGAGCCTGGTCTACATAGTGAGTTTCAGGCTAGTCGGAGCTACATAGTGAGACCCTGTCTCAAAACAAAACAGAGCTAAGTTCTTTTTTCTTTTTCTTTTTTGTTTGTTTGTTGTTTGTTTTTTCCCCCAGTGTATGTCTGTAAGGTTGTCTGACCCCTGGAACTGGAGTTACAAACAGTTGTAAGCTGCCCTGTGGGTGCTGGGAATTGAACTTGGGTCCTCTAGGAAGAGCAGCCGGTGCTTCTAAACACTGAGTGGCCTCAGTTTCATTTTCGTAATGTAAAACTAAGGGGGTTAAGTGAAATAATTCGAAAGCATGGTAATCTCTAACTCTAAAACAATGTACTCCTTCATTCTAAAGACAGAAGAATACTTTTTCTTAGAGCAGACAAAAATGATATTCTTGGCATGTGAAACTAGCATTCTTGTTCTTTAAAGTAATTATTACAAGTATTTATTTGTGTGATAGATGTGTGGGTGTGCATGTGTTCTATTGTGTTTATGGAGGCCAGAGAACAACCATGGTAGCCATTCTTTTCCACCGTGCTGGTCCTAGAGTGCCAAGTACCTTTACCCATTTTACCAGCCTTCAGCATGCTCTCACTGTTCAATAGAAAGAAATTGATAATTATAATTGAAATCCCATTGGTTTTGGGTGGGGGTATTGAGGCAGCATCTTCTGTAGCTCAGGCTGGCCTTCAACTCCCCTGAAGTAGCTGAAAATAATGGCCTGATTCTCCTGACTTTGGCTCCCAAATGCTGAGATTACAAATTTGTACTACCGCTTTTAAAATCCTGTTACCTTTAAACCTCAACTTACCAATGCTTCAGAACCAAATAGTTCATTATAAACAAGCATCCTCTACCCCATTTTATCTGGGGTAGGGAGCCACTAATAAGACATTCTATCACTGAATAATACTCTGTCCCAAAAGGTACATTCTTTCCTTTTTATTTAAGGCAAAATCTCTTTTTATAGCCCAGGCTGACCTCATGCTCACAGCAAAGCAGGCCTATGCCACCTTTTCAAGCTTCATGTTACATTTTCAGTATAGTACACAGATTTTATCAGCTAAAATAAGTAAAGGTATATCATTGAAATTTGAACATTTCTGGGGTTTCTTTTTTTCCCCCAAGCATTCTTGTCTTGCACATTTTTTCTGTATTCCTCCTGTTTTACAGTTGAAAAACATGGTCAGTGAGGGGGAATCCCTTACTCGAGGACATAGAACTAGTTTGTGGCAGAGCTCTGATTCAGTTTAGTTCAGTCATCTGAACTATCTTGAATTGTGTTGTATTTGCTTACGTTTCTGGTAGTTATTGTTCAACTGGAGAGTTAGTTCCACTTGGCATTTAAATAACAATTTGAGTCTAGGGCTCTCTGCAGCCCAGTCCACCTCAGACTCTTGACCTTCCTGCCTTCGCTTCTTAAGGGCTGAGATGACGGGTGTATGCCACCATTTCTGGCTGTAGTAGGATTTTGACAAGACTTTTGTTTTGGCTAGGAATAAATAGAAGATTGCATGACCTTGTACTTTAGTAATCCTCCTCTTAAATGTTAGGTTTCAGCTTGCTTTGACAAGAACAAGTTCATTAAAAATGTACTTTAGCCCTAGTACAACAAGCATCCAAGTACACTTCTCAAGTTCCTTATAGAATGCTGTATATGACCTGTGCACATTCCCCTACATAAGTCAAAGTCAACTCCAGATTTTATAGTTTTTCATAGAACAAAGCAGAAGACAGAGTTCCATTTGTTAGGTATGATGGTACCCATCTGTAATTGGAACAGGGGCAGCAGAAGGAGTCTGAGTTTGAAGTCAGCTTTTGTTGCATAGTGACAATTCTGTCTCAAAACAAAATGCAGACACCCAAGTTAGGCACCCTCACAACCATCTAACTCCATTTCCTGGGATTCTGAGAACTGTTCTCCCTGGGTACCAGAGCACATATAGTATGCGTACACATACATTTTTAATCCCTTTTTTATTGAGATTTATTTATTTATTATGTATAGTGTTCTGCCTGCGTATACATCTGCACACCAGAAGAGGGTACCAGATCTCATTATAGATGGTTGTGAGCCCCCATGTGGTTACTAGGATTGAACTCAGGTACTCTGGAAGAGCAGCCAGTGTTCCTATCCTCTGAGCCATTCTCCAGCCCCAGCTTTTTTTAAGCATCTTTGACTATAGTTAAAAAAAAATCTTCTAAGGCTTAATCTTATCATTTCTTATCATAATTTGGGAACATTATGACATAACTATATCTTAAAAACTGGAGCTGGAGAGATGGATCAGAGGTTAAGAGACTGCTCTTCCAGAGGTCATGAGTTAATTTCCAGCAACCACATGGTGGCTTACAACCATCTACAATGGGATTTGGTGCCCTCTTCTGGCGTTCAGGCAAACATGCAGGCAGAGCACTGTATATATAATAAATAAAATAATTTTTTTTAAAAAAAGATCTTTTTTGCGCCAGGCAGTAGTAGCACACTCCTTTAATCCCAGCACTCGGGGGCAGAGAGGAGTGGAGTTTGAGGCCAGCCTAGTCTACAGAGAGAGTTCCAGGACTGACAGGCCCCAGAGCTACAGAGAAATCCTGTCTTGGGGATGGGAGGGGGGGGACAACACTTTTTCCTAACAATAATTTTGTTTTATCAAGTATAAATATTGTGCATATAACAGTAAAAATAAAACACACGTGCACACCGCCCCCAAAAAAGGGGGATATGACTTTAATCCCGGCATTTAGGAGGCAGGAGCAGGTGGATCTCTGAATTATAGGCCAGCTTGGTCTACAGGGTGAGTTCTAGGACAACCAGGACTACATGATGAAACTGGGTCTCAAAAACCAAGAATTAAAAATAGCAGCCAGGCGTGGTGTCAAATACCTTTAACCCTAGTGTTGGGAAAGCAGAGGCAAGAGAATCTCTTGAATTAGAGGGCAGCCTTGTCTATGTAAGCAAGTTCCAGAACAACCAGGGCTGTAGCTGTATAATACGGGGGGGGGGGGGGGCTAAAATAACTTTTCTCTCACACCAGCCACTCCCCAAAATAGCTGCACACAGACTTAACATTTGTTTTTAACTAGCTTTTGTAACTTAAATTAACTGATTTCTATTCATCTGTGTGCTGTCCCGAGGCTCGCTTACCTCATGAATGTACATACTGCTTCTCTGCATCTTTTGGTGACTCCTCACACTCCTTCTACTCAGCGTCCTCCTAGTCTGCTTCTCCTGCCCAATCTCTTCAGTGAGAGTAATATTTACAGTGTACAAAGATTGTTTCCGCAGCAGTGTGTAATAGATGGATATGGAATGTCTGTGTGTAATGAATACGTGTGGTGAATGGCCCTGGTTTCCTGTTCTGTTCTTGGGGAAGTAGGAAATATAAAGCTGGGAAGAACAGTGTTTAAGCTGTCACTGAGGTGAGTGGTAGAAGTTTGAGTTGGTTTTGTCTGTTTGTTTGGGTTTCTGTTATTATTGTTGTTTTGAGACAGGGTCTCACAGAGTTTGCCTGACTTCAAATTCATATAGCTCTGCCTGCCTTTCTCTCCCAAGAACTGGAATCCGTGGCCTGAGAACTACTGTTTGTAAAACTAAAATGTGTATTCTGATGTCTTAGAAGCCATACTTTTTTTTAATTACCTGTATTTGTCTTTTTCTGCAGAAATAGAAAGGTCGTTGATTACTCACAGTTTCAGGAATCAGATGATGCAGGTATGTTTGTATTTCTACAGTCTTGCTGTACTGACCGAACTGTCAGCTTATGTGCTTTCTGTCATGCTTTTAAAGGTCTCTTATTTAAAAGTACCCAGTGATTTGTGTCAAAGAAAGCAATGTGAACTTGCCCCTTTTCTTTGAGATAAGGTCTGTTACCTAGGTTGTCCTTGACCTCAAATGCACTTGCCTCACAATTGTAGGGTTGCAGGTGTGTGCCTCTGTGCCTGGCGCTTAGCTTTTTCTGTAAATCATTGAAATAAACACCTGATTTTTTTTCTTATCTGGTTTTAGAATCCAAAGGTTAAATTCCAGTAATTTGCAGTGTTTATTTATGTAAAATGCCCACTGCTAGCTAAGCCCAGTAGTGTGAGCAGATAGTCCAGCTATTCAGGAACCTGAGACAGAGCACATGAGCCCAGAAATTCCAGACCAACTGTGATTCTGCAAGACCCTGATTCAAAAACAAGAAAATTGTGCTATTGTTGCAGTTATTATCACAGTAAAATCTGTGCCTAAGGAAGTTATGCTGTTTGTATAATGAAGTAAGATGGGTCTTTTTATTATCTTATTTTACTTGAATATTTTATTATTTTATGTTTTGAGTGTTTGCCTGTGTTTGCGCCTGTGCACCAACTGTGTGCCATCCTTTGGAGGACATAAGAGGGCATCAGATCCTGAAACTGGACTTTCTGCCGTTGTGAGCTGCTGTGTGGGTGCTGGGAATTGAACCCTGGTTGTCTGGAAAACCAACCAGTGGCTGTAATTACTGAATCACTAATTTTACTTTATAAAGATAGTGTACCCTTTAGGAAGGCTTGGAAGATATGTAGAGGAATGAAAAACTTATGTATATATTATATATAACTTATGTTTATATATAATATATAAGTATATAACATATAACTTATATTTATAAATATATATGAAATTCTATCTCTGAAGTAATATAAAAATCAATTGCTACATGCCAGGAACTGTTCTAAATGTTTGTGTTTATTTAATAGGTTGGTTTTTGGAGGAATACTGTTAGGAATCTCTTGTTTCATTTTACAGCTAAGGAAACTGAAGCATAGTTGATACTTATGTCCCGTAGTTGACATGTAGCTGTTTTGACCTTTTTCTTTTGGATTTTCATCTTTTTAAAATGTAGTTAAGGAACAGCAATATGATTCAGCAGACAAAGGCCCTGCTGACAACTTGATTTGATCTCTGCAAATGGTGGAAGGAGAGAACCAATTCCTGCAAGTTGTCCTGTCTTGTACATGCACAACCTGGCAGGCATGCCCACACACACAATAAATGTTTGGTGTTTTTTTGTTTTGTTTTGTTTTGTTTTGTTCTTTTAATGTGGTAGAGGGGTCATTTTTGATTTTTTTTCAAGAAAGGGTTTCTCTGTGTAGTCTTGGCTGTTCTAGAATTCACTCTATAGACCAGGCTCACTTCAAACTCACAGAGATCTGTCTGCCTCTGCTTCCTGAGTGCTGCGATTAAAGGCATGTAGGCATAGGCATGCTTGATGTTTTTTTAATTTTTAAGAAGTAGAAGATAGTACACTAGTTAAAAATATATACTGCTGTTGCAGAGGACCTGCGTTCAGTTCTCAACATCCATTAGCTCATGTGCACATAACCACATACAGCCTACACAAACACATAATTAAAATAAATATTGCTGATAATGGTTTAGGATATTCTGCTAAGGAATTCATAATGAATCCAGCAACTTAGGAATTACTGAAGTCCCAAACGACTAAAGTTTTAAGTATCCAGAGTGTATTATATATTTGTTATTTCAGTTTAAGAATAATTTGCTTGATCACGATATTATGTTATGATTGTAGATTTTATGTTTTTTTAAGATGTTTATAATAAAACTATTACTATAATTTCAAGTAAATATGAATATGAAACCTGGGGAAATCATAACTAAATGGAAATGGTATTAAATGATAAGCTATGGTGTAACTGTATAAGGTGTGTATATAAGAACTAGATAATAATATGTGAAATGGGATTAAAATAGTTAGAACTGGGGAGAAATATTAAAGTTCTTTTATTTTCAGTTGTGTGTGTGATATGTATGTACGAGTGTGGGCACAAAGGGAGAGCAGGAGAAAACTTGGGAGTGAGTCCTCTCTTGCCATGGCTTTCAGGTATCGAAATCGGGTTTCAGGCTTACGCAGCCAAGTGCTTTTAAGTATTGAGCCATTTTGCTGGCCCTCTTTTAATTAATTGTTTTTGTGGTACTGGAGAGATAGATCTCAGCCTGCTACATGTTAGATAATAAATATTTCTAGCCTCAATTTTTTAAAATTTACTTATTTACTTTGGTTTTTCGGGACAGGATTTCTCTGCACCTTTGTAGCCTGTTCTGGAACTTGCCCTGTAGACCAGGCTAGCTTTGAACACACAGTCACAGAGATCTACCTGCCTCTGCCTCCCAAGTGCTGAGATTAAAGGGGGTGTGCTATTACCACTTGGCAAAGCCCCATATATATATTTTGAGACAAGGTTTTTCTGTAGCTTTGATACCTGTCCTGGAACTAGCTCTTGTAAACCAGGCTGGTTTTGAACTCACAGAGATCCGCCTGCCTCTGTGCTGGGACTAAAGGCATGCACCACTACCGCCCGAAAGCCCCGATTTTTTTAAGAGTACTTTTTGTTTGTTTGAGTGTTTTGCTTCATGTACATCCTGTGTACCACATGCATGCCTGGTGTTTGTAGAGGCCAGAAGAGGGCAGTAGATCCTCTGGAACTAGAGTTGTGGGGCCCTATATGGGTGCTGGGAGTCAAACCAGTATGTGCTCTTAACCACTGAGCCATCTCTCCAACTCCCCTTCTACCTTTAATTAAAAAACCCATGAGGGAAATTGGGTTTCATTTATTTAAATGGCATGAGGAGTAATGTGTGATTTCAGCATGTAAACATCATAATCTAATTAACCAAATTTGAAAAATTGCTTGTTTAGATGAAGATTATGGAAGAGATTCAGGCCCTCCTGCTAAGAAAATTCGGTCATCTCCTCGTGAAGCTAAAAATAAAAGGCGATCTGGAAAGAATTCACAAGAAGACAGGTAGGAGGCATCATTGTTTTTATCTTCCTAGTTACAGAGTCAGAGCTCCAAAATAAAGGCAATCTATGAGTTCTAACTGGGTGAAGCTTCTATATGCAGTCTGTGTTTCCTGTCGTGTAGGTCGTGCTACTATGCTTGCGGGTCAGCCTCTTCTCCAGAAGCTACTTGGTCTGAACTTTACAGGAAGTGATTTCCATCCAAGAATCTTTTGTTATCTGAAGTTGGTATGGACACTTCATTGTGGTTCAATAGCAGAACCATAACTAAACCTTGTGGAATTCTAAACTTTGAACCCTGTTGAATTTTATTCTCAATGAGTCTTTATTGTTCAAGTAATCATTTTAGATACTTTACCTCTTCTTTTAATTTTTTTATTGTTTTCTTTTTCTTGTTGTGGTGCTAAGAACGGATCCAGGACCTTACTTGTGCTGACCAAGCATTCTGCAACTGAGCTATTCATCTCCAAACTTTTCCCCTTAGTTTTACAAATGTGTTCACATAAATTGCAATTTAACCGTAACATAACTACATTGAGAAAGGGATGATAGAATTTTTCTCCTGGTTTTCAAAGTGAACACACACATTTCCTAGTATATAACTTTAAGACATGATGGTGATGAAGGAGAAGAAAGACTATTAGTGTCAGGCTGTGTTGTGCTTTCTGTCCATTGTCAATTCTCATAACACTTCTATCAGCTTGAGGGGTTCAGTGAATGGAGCAGGAGGTTAACGAGTAAATTGACCAGCAGGTTTTGAAACCATACTTGGTTTCAAACTCCACTTTTAACCATCAGTCTAAGACTCTTGGAGGCTGGAGAAATGGTTAAGAGCACTGGCTGTTCTAGAGTACCTACGGTCCATTCCCAGCATCCACATAACAGCTCATCATTGTGTGTAATCCTAGATTCAGGGGATCCAGTGACATCTTCTGGTCTTGATGGGCACCAGGCACACATTTGGTGCACAAACAAGTGCAGACAAAGTACCCATACACATGAGATAATAATTTTAAAAGAAAATAAAGACTCTTAGGATATTAAACTCGCCAGGCAGTGGTGGTACACGCCTTTAATTCCAGCACTTGGGAGGCAGAGACAGGAGGTGGATCTCAGCCTGGAGTGGGTTCCAGGATAGGCTGTAAAGCTACACAAAGAAACCCTGTCTGAAAAAAGAATATTAATGTTAATAATATAAATGTATTCATTTACCAAATAGTTTTTGTTTGTTTATATACCTAATTTCTAATGTTTTTAGTAGAGAATTTCTGAGATGTGGTTTTGAGAAAATAATTCAGTATTATGCCTTTAAGAGACAGTTCTTCTCAAGTTAGAGTATCTCTCTCTCTCTCTCTCTCTCTCTCTCTCTCAAATCATATTCATTTACAGATCTCCTTAAATGTGAACCATTTGTGATTTGTTTATATTATCTTATTCGTGTCTGTATCTGGCCTAAAGTTTTTCTTTGTTTTTTGGTCAGGGATGGGCAGGATCTCAAGAGCGTAGCTCAGGCTAGCCTTTAGGTTGAGCCTATAACACAGTGTCTTGTTGGGTTTTCTATTCATTTGTACTTAAGAATTGAGTTTTGGGGGCCTGGAGAGATGGCATACTGGTTAAGAGCACTGAATACTCTTCCCGAGTACCTGGGTTCAATTCCCCGCACCCACATGGCAACTCATAACTGTCTATAACTCAATAGACGGGGGAGCTGACACCCATGGCAAAATACCAGTGTACATAAAATAGAAATAAATGAAAAAAATTAAAAATTGAGCTTTTCCCTGACTTTGCTCATTGAAATAGCCTGCGAAAAATCATATACTTGATCATAAGTTAGATTTATAAACATTCCTTCATTGTTTTTTGTTTCTGAATTTTGTTTGTTGTGGCCCTGGGAATGATTAGACTGGGAGCCTTGCTGGACCTTTGGGCTTTTTGTTTGTTCAAGATACTTAGTCCCTTTCCTGTTGAGTCTTGGGACTCAGTTTATTTTTCCATGAAGAGTACAATCACACATATTCACTAGCATCCCTGAAGGTAAGAGAATAATGAAGCCGTTTCATTCCTTAGCATCTGCGTTTGAACTTCTTTGGTTTTTTGAGACAAGATTTCTCTGTGTAACAAGCTGTGGGTATTCTAGAACTCACCCTGTAGATGATGCTGGCCATGAACTCGCAGAGATCCTCCTGCATCTGCCAACCAAGTGCTGGGATCAAAGGTGTGTACCACTACACCCAGCTTAGGGTCCTGTCTTCAGTTCAGGCAGACCTAAAACTATGTAGCCTAGGATGGGTTGGAACTGATGGATGTCAGTCCTCTTGTCTGAACAGCCTTACTACTAGAATTAAGAGTGTAGCCACTCTGCCCATCGATCTTTGATCTAAGTCTTAACAAATTTTTTCTTTTTGTTTTTTCCTTACAGTGAAGACTCAGAAGAAAAAGATGTGAAGACCAAGAAGGATGATTCTCACTCAGCAGGTAAAGTATGTTCACTGCAGTAGAAATAATTTATATACTCTTCGTTTATGAAGAAGTTTTGGGGGCCAGGCTGTGGTGGCGCATGCCTTTAATCCCATCAATTGGGAAGTAGAGGCAGGCGGATCTCTGTGAGTTCAAGTACTGGAATTATAAGACCATTTCTATCTTCACCCTTCACCCAGGTAAACATTACTCTCCATCTTTACGGACTTTTTTTTGTTTGTTGTTTTTTAAGAATCTACAGGTTATTTTCATGCAAAATTGAGGTTACAACCTTTTTATTTTGCTGGCTGTCGAGATGACACCGTGGCTAAGAGCACTAGCTGCTCTTCCCAGGGGACCGGGGTTCAGTTCCCAGCACCTACATGGTGCTTCACATCTGTCCATGACTCCAGTTCCAGGAAACCTGACACCCTTATCCATACATGTAGGCAAAACACCAATTCACATAAAACATAAAATGCAAACTATCTTTAAAAATGTTTTACTTAGTTGTTTGAAACAGGGTTTCACTATGTGACAGTGGCTGTTCTTGAATTCATTATATAGACCAAGCTGGCCTCAAACTCCTAAGAGATACAACTGCCTCTGTTTCTTCAATGCTGGGATTAAAGATGTGTGCCCAGCTGCTGTGCAATTTTTATAGAAATAAATTGCAGCAAATTAAGTAAATGCCATTTGAAATAATAGCCATAGAAAAATATTTTATAAAATTTTTTTAAATATTTATTTATTATGTATACAATATTCTGTCTGTGTGTATGTCTGCAGGCCAGACCTCATTACAGATGGTTGTGAGCCACCATGTGGTTGCTGGAAATTGAACTCAGAACCTTTGGAAGAGAAGGCAATGCTCTTAACCACTGAGCCATCTCTCCAGCCCCCTGTAAAATTTTTTAATTAAAAGAATTATTATGAACCAAGTATAGTGGAAAATGCCTTTGATACCAGCATCCCGGATGCTGAGACAGGAGAATTGCTGTGAAGTACAAAGCCAGCCAGGTGTTGCATAAGGAGATCCTGTCAAAAAAGTTATAGAAAAAGACGAGAGATGGCTCAGCAGTTATATAGTGTGCTGGCTGCTTTTACAGAGAACCTGAGTTCCATTCCCAGCAACTTAACGCTGGTGGTTTACAGCTTTCTATATTCCTTATTGCTTCTGGCTACTTTAATTTTAACCAGTATGCCCCTCCTTTGTCTTCTTGGATGTCCCTTTTCATGACTGCTGTTGAACAAAAGTATAAAAGGTAGACAACAGTCTGCTAAATTAACTCTGTTGACATGTTTTGCCTTCCCTACTACTTAAATTCTACTATCTCGTGACCCAAAGATAATGTAATGTGCTTTGGCATTCATTTGCTCCGTGAGCCCTAATTTAATTTTCTTTATTAGGATTTTTAATACTTCCAAGATGCATGATTCTGTACTTGTATTAAGCACAACTCTTGCCAACTCGGTTTAGTTTAGGCTCTGCCATAGTCAACTTTATTCTCTAATTGTCTCTAGATGAGATCTGGCACTAGAAATAGTAAATATTGACCACGAAGGGGAGAGCCTTACAAGGTCCCAGCCATAGTTGAGGAACCCTTTGACAGTTAATAGTTACTAGAAATTGGCCACTGGGAGCTTGTCCATGGTCTATTAGAAAGCCTCACACCCATTCATATATTTTATGTATGAATTGCACTTACTGGTCTTACTGATTTATTAACAAATGCACACCATGAAATTAGGACAGATATGTGTTGGGAGTGAACCAGGGGAGGTAGAGTTGAGTAGTAGGGAATAGATGGTACCAAATGCATTGCATGTATATTTCTATTCCCAAAGAATAAATAAAAGGTGCTATGTTTTGGGGTTTTTAGTTTTTAGCATTTTTAGACAGGTTTTTTTGTGTAGCCTTGGCTGTCAAGTGCTACCACTACCTGGACTCTTTTTTTTTTTTTCCCCCCAGAAGAAAAAAAATGGGCCATGCAAGGCTTCAGGGACTGTTTTAGAAGTATGACAGCTAGGGGCTGGAGAGATGGCTCAGTGATTAAGAGCATTGCCTGCTCTTCCAAAGGTCCCGAGTTCAGTTCCCAGCAACCACATGGTGGCTCACAACCATCTGTAATGAGGTCTGGTGCCCTCTTCTGACCTGCAGACATACACACAGACAGAATATTGTATACATAATAAATAAATAAATAAATATTTTTTTTTTAGAGAAGGAAGTATGACAGCTAAACCTTTAGGGAAGCCTAAAAGTTCAGTAAAGAGCTATAAGTAGAGACCGTCAAAATCAACCTTAGTCTAGAGCTGGTGGGCTAGCAACTTGGCCTTTAATTACCTGACTGAATTACTATTGATGAAACAATTCATTTATTGTAGTATATGAGAGTAATTTTTATAAGCTTGGCCTTGGATCTTTAGCTAGCTCATCTAAATATACTTCTAAAAATTTTCCCCTGTCTGTCTCTAAATTGGAAAGGTCACCCAATCCATTGTAAGGAGGAATAATTTAGCATTGTTTTTTATGTGTTTATCTTAGGATAGAGATAATTGGAAGGCCTCCTTACTGCTTCTATTTTAAAATATTTTTTTTTCTCACTTTGTCTTCTAAAATCAGTAAACATAGGTTGGCATATAACTGCTAATTTTAGGATTAAACAGTTATAAATTTAAGTGTTCATAGTTTAATTCAACTGTGTAGTTTTAAAAAACTACATGCCTATGCCAGGCATGATGATAGAAGCCTGCAGGTCTCTGTAATTTTGAGGCCACCCAGGGCTTTATATATCACAAGTACATTTATTTTATTTTAAAGTTTATTTTTAACATTAGCACTCTATATTTTGCAGGATTATTTTCTTTTTAACTCCTTTATTGATTCTTTGAGGTTTCACATCATGCATCCCAATTCCTTTTACCCGGTTCCTCTATATCCTCCTCTCATCCCTGCAATGCCCCCCAATGAAAAAATAAAACAACAGCAAACCCCTTTGCTTCTCTTTCCTGCCTCGCCCACATATTCTCATTTGTCCTGGTTGCATTGGGGGGTCTCAATCTGTATATAGTATAGCCTTTGGTCTGTTACAGGAGGAGGCCACTTGTTGGTTCCCAGCTGCTCAGCCCCGAAATAATCACACAGAAACTATATTACTTAAAACACTGCTTGGCCTATTAGCTCTAGATTCTTATTGGCTAGCTCTTACATATTAATTTAACCCATTTTCATTAATCTGTGTATTGCCATGAGGCTGTGGCTTACTGGGAAAAGTTCTGCGTCTATCTCCGGTAGGGCTATATGGCTTCTCTCTCTGACTCTGCCTCCTTTCTCCCAGCATTCAGTTTAGTTTTCCCTGCCTACCTAAGTTCTGCCCTATCAACAGGCCAAGGCAGTTACTTTATTAGCCCCAAGTGGTATTCACAGCATACAGAGGGGAATCCCACATCATTTGTCCTTTCAGCTTTACTAGCCAATGCTCATTGCAATGAGTCACTGGTCTGGTTCAAGGTGGTTTCTGATACACTGGCATCATTGGGTTCTCACCAGAACTTCTCTTAGACTTCCTATGGCTGCACCAACAGATCCTGTGGGTATTCTGCAGGACCAGTCCCTTCACTTATTTCAGCAGGTCCGAGGGTGGGGGGGAGTAGATATTAGGGTGGGCCAACCCAAGGCCCAGCTGTGGGCCTGGGTGGTAGCTGAGCTGGTCAATCCAGGTCACTGGGGCCACTAGTCTCAGGCGAGGGGACCACAGTCTACTCCCCTTTATCTATACCCTCAGAGTCAGTTCACCCTTATAAGGGTGCAGTCATCTCTCCTGGGTGCAGGGGCCAGCTCTCCTAGGGTCAGTGAAGGGCTGAGCTGACTCAGCATGGCCCTTTTATTTCATCTCCAGTGTTTCCCAAGGCTCACTGAGGTGACACAGACACAGTTCCTAGCTGTACAGACCCAAACATGGTCCTCAGTAGCAACTTGGGACCGGACGACATCTGCCTCTGGGTGGAAGCAGTGGCAAATGCTGGGATTAAAGGCGTGTGCCACCACCTGGCTACTTTAAGGAATTTTTTAAGGATAGGTTTTATTCCTTCTGAATGAAGTTAAGCTGCTCCTCTGTAAGCAGATGTGAAATTTTTTGATTGTTGTATCACAGTAACTTTTATATTGCAGATGACAGTGAAGATGAAAAAGATGATCATAAAAATGTACGCCAGCAACGACAGGCAGCATCTAAAGCAGCTTCTAAACAGCGAGAGATGCTCTTGGAAGATGTTGGCAGTGAGGAAGAGCCAGAAGATGACGATGAAACACCTTTCCAGGAGAGTATGTACAGTTACCCACTGTTCTTTAGTCATTTGTCTAGGCAGTCTCTCCTATGCAAAGCCCCATGTTGACCTCAGTTGTGTAGCTGAGAGTGACCTTGAACTGCTTACTGATCTGCCTGTACTACCCCTCCTAGTTTTATGGAGAAGTGAGGCTCTAACTCAGGGCTTTGTGCATGGGCAAGTACTCAGTCGATTGAGCTTCATCTCCAATTCCAGTCCTTATTTGCAATTGTAGATTATTTTGGTATTTTCTGAGATACTAAATGTTTGCATTCAGTCCCTTGTATCAGGCAGATGCAACCTGTGCAGATAGAACTGTACAGCCGGGTGTGATGGAACATACCTTTATTCCCAGTAAATCTATCCAATCCTGAATTTCAAAAGGAGTTTTTTTTCTACTCTAAGATATTTGTGTCCATACCATACTTATCCATTCTCCAGTGGCCAGGGGCAGCTCCAGCCAAGTTGGTATTGTAATTCCTTGTTGAACCCAGTCTTTCTCAGCACTCTTTCCCTTTGTTCACTTGGAAGGATGTGTGCATTTAAGTTGGACGTTGAAATTCTTCTTTCCTCTCAGAAGATTCTGGCAGCGATGAAGATTTCCTAATGGAAGACGATGACGATAGTGATTATGGCAGTTCTAAAAAGAAAAACAAAAAGATGGTTAAGAAGTCCAAACCTGAGAGAAAAGAAAAGAAAATGCCGAAACCTAGACTAAAGGCTACAGGTGAGGCCCATGAAAGTCGAAACACATTTCTGCCTTTAAAATTTTTAAGGACTAAACTTTCTCAACACAGATTCCTCATTTAGACCTCAGCATTGGCCTTGTATTTGATCGAAACCCAAAGGGCTTTTACATGTGTCTTTGGTCCCTTCAAGACTACTGGAGAGATGGCTTGGTGATTAAGATGATGACTTGTCTTTCAGAGAAGCCAAGTTCAGTTTTGCAGCAACATCGTGAGGCTAATAGCCACCTGTGATCCCAGCTGCCACTGCTGGCTACTTTAGCACCTGCACACATGTGCATACCTACACACAGGCAAACAGATACACAATTAAAAATAATAAATTTTGAAAAAAAATAAAAAGAATGGGCTGACAAAATGGCTCAGTGATTAAGAGCACTGGCTATTCTTCCAGGGGGCTTAGAATCAATTCCAAGCACTCACATGGCAGCTGACAGCTGTCTGTAATACCAGTTCTAGGGGCTCTGACACCCTCGTATAGGCATGCTACAAAGTACCAGTGTGGATGAAATGAATATTCAAAAGAAAAAAAAGGCCTGTGAGCTAGGCCTGTCAGGCATAGTGTTCCTCACTGTGCCCATGTAGTGCTGGGTGCTCTGAGGTCGGTCCCAGCAGTTAGGGAAGGCTCTGTTCTGGCAGGGTAAAACAGTGCTGACAGAAACAAAACCAGCCTTGATAATAAGGATTTATCTTCTGAGTTTTCAAGGGTCCTGCCAGGTACTTTCCTAGTTGGAGCTAGTTTGTTAAATTAGAATTCTAGATTTATTTAATTTTATTCTGGCAGACATAATTTGTGAATTTCTTGTTTTAAACTTTTCATACTGTAGAGGATGATGGAAGTCCAAAAGCTGTTTGGTTCCAATTTCTGCTCAGAATGTTACATTATCCTCTTTAGGAGTAATATATTTTTCTCTATGGACTCTATGTTTCTTTTTTTAGTGAGGTGGGATTATTTTTTATACTTACAGACGTTTATTTTGTAGCTGTTTTTTATTACTTTTCTTGCTTTTTTTGTGTGTGCCTTTGATGTTTTTGCCTGCATGCATAGCTGTGTGAAGGTAGTGTTGGCGTTACAAGCAGTTGTCTTCATGAGGGTGCTGGGGATTGAACTAACCGCTGAGCCCTCTCTCTCTCTCTCTCTCTCTCTCTCTCTCTCTCGCTCCCGTAGCTAATTTTCAAAGGCATTTTTTTCTCTTTCTGTCTCCAAATTGTTACTTTCTGTATTTCAGTGACGCCAAGTCCAGTGAAAGGCAAAGGAAAAGTGGGTCGCCCCACAGCTTCAAAGGCATCAAAGGATAAAACTCCTTCTCCCAAAGAAGAGGATGAGGAAGCAGAAAGCCCTCCAGAAAAGAAGACTTCTGCAAGCCCCGCACTTGAGAAGTCTGGAGATGAAGGGTCTGAAGATGAAGCCCCATCTGGGGAAGATTAAAAGTGATGTTTGGGGAGAGATTTTATTCAAAAAACAAAAAAGGAAACCTACGTAGGACACGATTTGGGCTGTGGCTTGACTCATGGGCTTTCAGTGCTATTTCATTTGTCTAAAATATTGTTTCTTTCTATATCTATCTCTATATTTATCTCACTCTCAAAACCATTGTATGTTGAAATGTTTAAGTTGCCATTTTGTCTAATGGTCTTTTTTCTTTGCCAATCCCTTCCTCCCCTTCTCCCAATGAAAGCCATGTCAATTAATCACTGAGTTGACTGCTTCATCCTTGTATTTTTAATGGAGGTTAAGAATCCCACGGCTGTAAAGCAATAAGATTTGAGATGGACACTATGGAAACTTTGCTTTTTGCTAAAGAATAGCAACTTGAACAGTAATCAAAACTAGAAAGGTTTTAGTTGAAAATTATTGTTCTTTCTTTTCCTGTACCTTTGACTGACCATTTATCATTTAACATGAGCTTATATGTCTAAACTGTACGTGTCAAAGAATCATGACTCTAAACTTAACTGATGAGGCAGTTGGGAGGTGAACATGAATTCTGGGCTGTTAACTCAGACTACTCACATTATCTCCTGGGTGTGGAGGGAATAGACTTCCTGGAGCTTTTCTGGAAATGTGGGCTTTCTTATTTTGTACTGTGTTATTCTCAAAGAGACTCAAGAGCCAGTGGTTCTTTTGTCTCAATAACAGTCCTTTTTAAAAATGGGCCACCAGAAGCCAAAATCATTTTTAATTTCATATTTCATTCATGTTTTCATTGATTCATGTTTTTTTTAAATATATACATATCCTGTTTTTTGGATAGAGTTTTACCAATGATCAGAAAATTAAACAGAGATTCCCTAGAATTTGGATGACAAGATGAGTGTACACCTCACGGAGCATTTCTTCACAGGCTGATGATGTTAGAGTTTTAAGCAAATAAAGTTTTGAGTTAATGTGAAGCTCAGATACAAAGGATTGAGATTCATCCTTTATAAATACAGGTAATTGAAGATCTTTTATGTTATAAATGTGTTTTCAAGGGCCCATGAACCTTGTTAGTTTTGTTTGGGGATAGAATTGATTTCCTTTTGATATTTAAATCTTTTCTTTGTAGTAGCATACTATGATACACGTCTCACAACTTTGTCCTGCTACTTCAGAATCTCGCAGTTCAACCGTGGAATACTGTTTTCATTACTAACAGCATGGGAGTGTGTGTTAAATGCTGCTTCCATCCTGTGGAATTGTTTTACTACTTAGTTGTTCTGACCCCTCCTTACTGTTTGTGTTTCTCAAAGCAAGAGCCTGAGCCTCAACAGGATGAGTGAACTGTATTTTAGGGTGCCTATGTGCCACTGATAACAGTCTAGACACTTTAACAGAGCATCAGGACATAGATCTATAGGTTTGATCCTCCACAGTCAGATCCCATGCACCAATAGAAGCAAAACTTAGGGATCCTATTACGCTACTAAATTAAAGATTTAGTGGAATTAATTTCTGTATATTTTTCTGCACTTAAGCTAAATTTGCTCCTTCAGTATTCTGCTTTTGTGTTTTTTAAGTGACATGTTTGTCTCAGACAATGTCATTTTCTTATAGGCGTTCTTAGGACAAAGGGTTATTTAAGAAATATTTTTACTCGGGTTTTTAAGACACTTTAAAGAACATTCTTAGATCTGCTTTAAAATAAATAAAATAAATAAATAAAATACCCAGTGGCAGAGAGTCATTTCAACCCTGCACTGTTAATAAATGAGTATTAAATATGGCCAAAAATAGAGACTTGAACATAAACAGTTGCTTTATTGTATTGTGTAATGGAATAGTTGTGAGCTGTGTAATGAGATATTACAGATCTGTTTGCTTTAGTGGGCTTGCTCAGGTGTACCCATCCTTCAAAGAGGAGACTCACCATCGTTTCCACCAGGCATCTCTCCCTTTTAGGGGCTTACAACTCAGTCTTACATTCCTAGTGACATTTGGGCTTTTCTTAGGTTACGTTTCATGGAAATTTTAAAATCTCTTTAGTATATTAATCTGCACTAACATCTTTGATTTTTATCTACCTATAATTGAGAAACAATACTGTCTTGTAGATTACTTGTGTCTGTTTGGGCTTCTTGTTTAGCTAATTAATTAGACTGAAAAATATGTTTTCTAATCACAGGCTTATTAGATTGATTGGTGTCTCAAGTGAGCACACAGGCGCTGAATGACCTTTGCTTTCACTTTTTTTTAGTTGTTTGTAACACTGGTCTTCCTTGAAATCATGCATGCAAATAGGAAGACATTTAATGTGACTCAACTGGAAACAGGTGCTTAGCAGTTAGGTCTAATAAAGACATCAGGATAGGTCACAGCTATAAGCCCTTAATGACTGGCCCTTTGCACCTCTGTGGCTTACTGTCTTTTTTTTTCCTCTCTCTTTCTCTCCCCTGTGTGCCTATAGTAAGGTGGCAATGTATTCACTGTCTTGCTTCGCAGTGCTCAGGAAATGGGGATGTTCATTTGAAGGTGCTTGTCTGTTACCTAACCTCTTCTAGGTTTACCTCCAACAGATTACAGCAGCTCTGCTGACTAACACTACAGTCTAGTTCTCTTGAGGCTCTTTTTGAAGCCTTTCTCTTTCCCAGCCAGAAATGGTAGCCTCTGTCTCACCCAGTGGTACTTACTGCTGCTTTTAACCCTCCACTTCAAATAGATTTGGAGAGGGGACCCAAAGGATATATTTTAAATACCTCCCACTCAGAATTAACCTTAAAAACTAATGGTAGGATATTTCTTCTAGAGTGGTAAGAGACTCCTCTACAAATGCCTTTTCTTTAGAAAACAAAACAAAACACAGCATTTTGTGTACCCCAGGCTGCCTCATTTAAACTCCTATTTGTTTGTTTTTTCAGAACAAGTTTTATTTCAGTCTTCTATTTGGTACTATTTCAAATATCATTTTCTTCCAGATAACAAGTCAGTAATGGATTTTGAGGTTATAATCTAGTAAGATTTTTAATAGATACAGTCAGCTAAACTTGACTTTTTCTTTTAAATATGGTTTTACTATGTAGCCTGGCTGGGAGACCTCCTACCCCTTCCACTCTTAACACTGCTGGGAATAATGCCACCATGACAGGTGACACTTTTTTAAGATAGGTTTTTATTTTTATGAACATGCAGGTGACAAGTGAACTTTTGGCCTACAGGTTGAGAGAGGAGAATTGTGTAAACAAACTCAGGTTTAGGGCTGCTGCAAGAGCAGAATTTAGAAGCAACAGAAAGTATTGTTGGTGTTGTAGAGTGAGTGCCTGTTAGAACAGTTCTCTTTACCTTCTTTACCTGTAGCATCGGAAGCTACACTAAAAAAGTTCCCGCCTGTGAATGGGTAGGAAAAAATCCAAGGTAGGCTCCTCATGCGGTTTGTAGATAGAGGTCAGAACAAGCAGTGCAGGCTTCCTACCAGGGGGTAGGGAAAGTTACAGTCACTGGTTGCTCTTGAGGGTGGAGTATTGTCATTTTTTTTCTCTGGAGGAAGCTGCTGAATTACTTGATAATGGGGAGTTTATTGTTTTTTGAGTATGTCAAGCTGTCAGTAGCCATGTTCCTGTTTCACTCTCATTTTCCTTTTGTCTTAGAAACAAAATACATGATTTTTGAATATCAAATCCATGCATTATACTTTTGTTTAAAGCCTAATTAACAGTGGTGCTGATTGTAATAACCACTATCGGGGAGGGGGTTCCATATGCCTATCTGTTGCCATGCCAATGAGTAACTGAACCAGTGACATCTGTTTGAGCATGCTCTATATGGCTGTAGAGCACCACAGTTGTGCAGACACTTTGTATATTGGGTGAGGGAGGGTTTTCTAGATTTGGGGGGAGGGTACATTGGAATTTTTTTCTTCCTTTTTTGGTGGGGTGGGGAGTATAGTACTCAGTCATGCCCTAAAAATAACATGTATAAAATCCTGAAGTGTGGTGTGGGTGTGGATATGTGTGAGTGTGTGTTTGTAAATGTCTAGCAATTAAACCTTTATCTTCTGGAAGTTAGTGAATTTTTTTCCTTTTTTCTCTGGAAGTATTTGTTACAAGATTTTGTAAATAAGAGCTCTACATAGTCAGTTTACCATTTGAACATGTTGCAGCATACATGCTTCATTCCTGCAAGGCATGACTTGCCAGGTTACATAGCAGCCACAATCTCAGTAATTGTTTGCCTTGATTTATCTATTAGACTTCATTTGCCAGTTCTAAAAACTCCCAGTCTTCCTTGATACTAGTCCATAATCTTTCATGTTCTGAGCAGGAAGGATCAGAGAACTAGCCTATCTTAGGCTGTGGGCTGAGAGCCAGGCCAGGCATCCTTTTTTTTTTTTTTTTTTTTTTTTTTCATGTTGCGGTGTGGCTAGACACATCATCAGACATCAGAGGGTTGGGCATTCTTGCAATACCTTAGCAGTGCTGAAATAGGCAGCATGGTACTAAGGAAGTTAAAGTTTGAATGTAACCACTTTATTTAAAGTTTTTTTCTTTAATTTAAATGAAACCGAGTTGAAGTGACCATGTTTGTGAATTACAGATGCAACATGCATTGGTAGAATCGTGTGATGGTCTAATGTGATTCTTCATTTTCACATCTCTCAGTCTGTATGTATCTACATAAACAAAAAGAAACTCTTGCTTTGCTCTGATTGGAGGATTTCCAGGACTGCTGTCTTCTCCTGAACTTCGTTTTAAGTGCGTGTATCCTTTGCTTGTATTTTGTATTAAAAAAAAGAAAGAAAGAAAAAAAAAAGGAAAAGAATCCTTATTGTTGAGCATGTTGGCATTGTCCCCTTTATTTTTTTTCTCTTTTGGGGGACATATCAAGCAAGTTATTTTCTGTATCTTTTCTTTTATAAACCTTTTGGTTTGTTTTGTTTTAAAATGGCTTTATAAAAGGGCTTTTGTAACCCAGATGTGTGCTTGTGTGCTTCTTGAGATATTCAAAGCAACTACATTGCCTCTTGTGCAGCAGTTACCATGGCCCATAACTACTCATCTGACTTGAAGGATGTACAGCTGTTTCCCAAGTTGTTTAGTGACCACCTGTGTCGAAAAAAAGAACACTTATCTTGACTCAGAAGTCAATAGGTTGGAACGTTGAACTAAAAGACAGGCTGATTTTTGCTTGACAGGGGTTAGATGTGTGGGAATCCCTAGTTTGTCTCCAGAGTGAGAAGGGCAATTAAAGTTCAACAATCAGATATATAATGAAAGTTAGTGTTTTTTATGCTCAAAGAACACATTTCTGTACAGTGCCAAACACCCCCCCAGAACTACGCTGTCATCTTGTAACAGATAGTACCAGACAAGCTATTGACATAATTGCATTCTCAAGGAAAAATACCCTTTCCAAAGGTAAAGAACGATAGACCTGGCAGCAGTGTGCTGGAATGGGGAACATGGTGCGTGCTCCCTCTTTAGAATTGGTCTGAGACCAGCTATTTGGGCATTTCACACATACCTCCAAGTTTTTCTCTTACTTGCAATAACCAAGTGTTTACTGTAACTATTATGTATATGTTTAAGTAGGGTCTCTACATAGCTCTGGCTGTCCTAGAAGTCACTCTGTATACTAAGTTGGCCTCAAACTCAGATCTGCCTCCTTAGTGCTGGGGTGAAAAGCTTGAGCCTACCACAGCCTAGCAAACTTTATTCTTACTGGAGTTGTATACACCAGATTAAAGCTGTTTTCTGTATAATTTTTAAGGATTTATGTGTATGAGTGTTCTGCCTGCATGTATATCACATGTGTGTGCCAGCTGAGGTCAGAAAAAGACAAGTTCTTAGATATCCAGAGGTACATAATAGACGCTGTGTCAAAGATGGCTTTTGAAAACAGCTTGACTACACAGTTGTCTTCTGCCAGTAGAGGGCAGTGTTTGTCAACAAAGCCTGTGGCATGCCTGCTCTCCCTGGCTCATTTTCAGATTCTGTGTCTGTCAATCAGCACAGCCTGCCACCTCTGTTACAGTCTGTGATCAGTGTGTCCATTGGAGCATGCAGCAGTAATCTTCGGGGTTTTAAACAGGAAGTAGGGTCTCTTGATTTATGCATACTTTCTCTTGTGCTGTTCCCCACATAGAATTCTGAAGCTTTGCAGACAGCGTCCTGAAATGAATGTGTGCACTGAGGTTTCAAAACTCAGTTGTGAACTCTTGGCCCAGTTTTGAAACAAGTGTTGACTTTTGCAGCTGTCCTCCATTCTGAAGGTGTCAGCACTGACAACTATTCAAACAACAAAACACAGATCCCTGTTCTTGAGAAAATGTGGTAGCTGGCCACTCCTTGATCTTGAAGGCATGTCTCTCTTTCCTCTATTCTCTCAGCCCAGGGTACAGCTACCCATTCTGACATGCTTTGGCTGGGCCACTGCCAGGAAAAATGTGTGCTCCCTGTTGCAGTTGTGAAGTTCTGGACAAACATTGTGGAATACAAGCTGTGCTAATTCTGTGGACAGGGAGCTAGAGGGTATAGCCAGGGTTCAGCCTAGTAAAGCAAATAGTTACTTTAAGTGTGATAATGAAATGTTGGAAATGATTGTTTGCCTTGACTTAGTGCTCTGCACAGGCACTGGAATGAAGATTTATAAGATATCCAAGGAACAACAAGAAAGTGTGTGTGTATACATGTGTAATTAATCAGTAATGTTTTAAAGTATGGCTGGGAGTGTGTACACCCATATTTGCCCTTTCTGTTAAAGCATATAAGAAAGACACCTCTTTGGGAGCTAGAGAGATGGCTCAGTGGTTAAGAACGTTGTTTTTCTAGAGAACCCAAGTTCAGTTCCCAGCACCTCTGTCAGTTGGCTCAAAACTGCCTGTAACTTGCTCCAAGCGTTTGTACTCATGTGCTTCCTCATGTGTTCTCTCTCTCACACATGTAAAAACAAAAAATAATTTTAAAGATACCAATAGGGGCTGGAGAAATGGCTCAGTGGTTAAGAGCACTGACTGCTCTTCCAGAGGACGCGGGTTCAATTCCCAGCACCCACATGGCAGCTCACAACTGTCTGAAGATCCAGTTGCAGGGGACCTGACACCTTCACACCAATGCACATAAGATAAAGTTAAATAAACCATAAAAAAATATTTAAAAAAAAAGACACTAATGGAGTTGATTGTGGTGCATGCCTTTAATCCATGTTTAACTCAGGAGGCGGAAGCAAGCAGATCTCTGACTTCAAGACCAACCTGGTCTACAGAGCTAGTTCCAGGATAGGGCTACACAGAGAAACCCTGTCTCCAAAACAAAAGGAAAAAGAAAAATTTTAAAAAAGAAAGATACCAGGCAGTGGTGGCGCACGCCTTCAATCTCAGCACTCGGGAGGCAGAGGCAGGCGGATCTCTGAGTTCGAGACCAGCCTGGTCTACAAGAGCTAGTTCCAGGACAGGCTCCAAAGCTACAGAGAAATCCTGTCTTGAAAAAGAAAAAAAGAATGAGAGAAAAAGAAAAAGACCCTTCTTTGGCTGAGGTGGAATGTTGTGTCTAATTGTATTTTCCCCATCTTTGACAGCAACAGGAATAGGTAGTCTATGTGTTCCTGACTGTAAGAGACCAGGGCAGGTGAATGAAGTTATTAATCCAAGAAAAATGATGGTTTAATTTTAGGGGAGCCAGGCAGTGGTAGCTCACGCCTTTAATCCCAGCTCTCTGTAGGCAGAAGCAGGCAGATCTCTTGAGTTCAAGGCCAGCCTGGTCTACAGAACTAATTCTAGGACAGGCTTCAAAACTACAGAGAAACCCTGTCCTGAGAAACCAAAACAGAAATTTTAGGGGAAAATGACTACCAGTTTGTAATCGTAGCTGACGAGAGGTGATCCTTACCCCTATGTATCTGAATGTTTGGTGAAATACTTAACCAAAAGTAAGTTTTGAAACACTGGTCTTTAATAGAGCATGCTGGCAGTGGCACTTACCAGATCCTTGTTCTGGGGCTCTGCAGTTGACTCGGTTTTTTTTTTTTTTTTAAGATTTACTCGTTATGTGTATGAGTGCTCTATTTACATGGATGAGTTTACACTGGAAGAGGACATCAGATCCCATTCTAGATGGTTGTGAGCATCGTGATTGCTGGGAATTGAAGTCAGCTCCTCTGGAAGTGCTCTGAGGCATCATCCCTCCAACCCAGCAATTCACTGATTTAACCGAACTGAGTAAAAATACTGAGCACAGAAAAAATAAATACATGATTTTACTGCCAAAGTAATTAAAAATAGTGAAGTAACAAAGCTCTTATGTAAGACTCAGTTGACATTCTGTTTATTTTGTTGTATTTGTTTTGTTTGCCTTTTACAAGGTCTTAGTATGTAGCCTTGGTTGGCCTGAAATTCTTTTT